GTGCTCCCCCAGCCCCCAGCCCCCTCTGTCGGTCCCCGCCCTGCCACGGGTGAGTCCGCGCTGGCCCCTCCTTCCGAGGCCCGCCTCGTCTGACTTCCCGATCGCCCGTCAAGATCTAAACAACGGGTTTTCCCGGGTCCCCCAACTTCGAAAGACAGTGGTAGGAGAGATGTTTGAGGTCCTTTCTCTCTCCTAGTCACAACTCTCAGCGTAGATGCTGGATCCCACTCACACCCTCGGCCTTGGCCTCGACCAGTGCAGACTTTCCCTAAGATTCCTCTTACGCAGCCCAGCCCACGAGTCTAGAGCTTCACCTACTTTGAGGGGTGCGGGACTTGGTGGAGCGTTCCTAAGTAGATGGTTCACCAAACCCAACACGAAGAACTGTTCCCTATACCTAAGCCAGGAAAGCTGCAGAGTATGAGCTGGAGAAAGGTGAGGGGTGAGGACAGTGCCTGCAAGCAACAAGATCCAGGTGTCAAAAGGGAAGCTAGCGAGGAGGAAACACCTGCAGCCAAGACGAGGAAGAACCAGCTGTTTTCATTTGTTTTTTGTGGGTGGAGAAACCAGAGACAGACCTAAGCACCGTGTAAAACCTAAGCCCTGAGAAGGAAAGGAATCAATCGTGGGCTTTTGTAGTAACCCTAAAGGTAAATGGTGGGAGCATCTGGATCTGTGTTCCTTTGTGTTTTAAAGAAACCTGGAGTGACTTTGAGGGAGGGAGGGAGGGAGGGAGGGGTCGGAGACAACTACTCATCAGGACCCAGGTGAACAAGCAGGACTTGCTCAGCAAGGAATGCCTCACAGCCTCAAGCAGTCTGAGGGGAAGGAAAAAATGCAGACCAGGAGCTTCAGGGCCTGACTTAGGTGCCGGCAGAGGCCCTAAAGCACAATTTCTGAGGTCTGAGTCATGCACAATAGGCCACTCAGAGCAAGCCAGGTTTCATTGGCTGGGCCATTTTGGAATTCAGGGAGCTATCTAGGAATCCCTACTCACCCCTGCTGTACCTGACCCTTCGAATAAACCTGTGATGCTACCACCCATTTCGTACACCTAGGACTGGGGAGCAGGAAACCACAGGGCGCACTTGATTACTTGGTACGCTCTAACCCTAGACTCTCCTACCTACAGGCTCATTTAAAGTTTTCAGAGCCCAGCTACCCAGGACTCTTAGGTATGTGTTTCCTGGGTGATTCGGTTCACTAACTTGTTCCTACACCAGGAATTATGTAGAAAGTAGGGAGTGTCTTAAGGCTCCTGTAGGCAGGTGAAGAGTTAAAACTGTAAGGAATCACTAGGTGTAGAGACACCCTCCCTCCAAGCCTGCTGTTCTCTTGACCTCTCTGTACATGAGCAGAATCTCTGCAGAGAAAATCATCACCCCATTCTACAGAAAAGTCTCAGGCTTTGGGTAGGTGTTAAGTCATAAGCCACAGCCAGATTTTTAGATTTAGGCATTCCAACTTCCAACCTGGCACCACGTGTCCTTGAGAAATGCTGAGAGCTCTGTGCCCATGTGGCAAGAACTCGGTGAGGGCAGAGAAATCTCGGTAAGAGCAGTTGGAATCCTGCCCTGAAGCAGAGGAAAGGGCTGACACATCAGTGAAGCGGACTGTGTGGGGGTGTGGGGGGTGTATGCCCACCGTTTCCAGTTTAGCTGACTGCACAGACTGACAGGAAACTCAAGCCCATGCATGTGCCAAGAGAATGCCCCTGTTTGTCTACACCTTGGTCCTCTTTACTTCCCATAAAAAGGAATCTAGGGATTTACAGCCTCGCACTTAGTGCCAAAGTGTGAAGAAAAATGACCAAGTGTAACTTCCCTACAAGTGTAAAAAGTTGGAAAACTAGTCCATAGATCCAAAATATAAGGAGCTCAATCACCATCCTGGATAAAATACATACATAATGGGTACTGAAGATGGGGAAGATGAGCAGCCCAGGCCTTCTAAGGCAGTTTAGACAGGAAACAGAACACAACTCCCAACCATGTCCATTTCTGCAGTTCTTTGTTTACATTCCAAGATGATCCCCAAATGCAAGAAGGCTATCCCCGACCAAGAAAGGTTACAACACAGAATTGGGATGGGATGAGTTTTTGAACAGGAATAATAGACATCATTTGGTCTAAGCAGCAAGAATGTATCAGTACTGAGGCCTTGGGCTCTAGAGGTTACATGGGAAAGGACTGAAGAAACCGGAGCTGGGTGTTTAGACTCTGGGGATGAGCCTGGGATCAGATTATGTGCAAATGGAAAAAAAAGGAAGATCTAATCGAAGGATAACAGAGAATTAAGAGGTAGTACACTTGTCTGCCTACTCTACCACCATCAAAAAAGAACTAAGAAGGAAAGTAAAACCTATTCCAGGAAATTGCCCCTCATAAACTAGATACCCCAAATTGTTTGCAGTTTGGAAAGGATTCATGCTCTGAATTTGTGACAGATCTTTATCTAAAACCGTAAGAGGAAGCAAAACCAAAGTGTGCAACTCGTGTTTTAGTTTCCTTTCTCATTCCTCCTAACATGTCTGTCCCAAACCACATAGCAATACAGAAAACTCAGCTCATTAACAATAGACCACTGAGCAATGCCTATGAAGTCTTTTCATTAGCCACCTCCAATTCCTTTTAGAATAAAGAAAGGTCTATATAAATTCAGTTTAAAATCCTCACACAATGTGTGATTAAATTAATCACTAGCTCTGGCTAACAGCCCGACAAACTTGAGTGAGGTACCTTAGCAATCTGCTGGCCCCATGAGAGAGTTTGAGAGAAATGTCTGGCTGAAGAGTCAGCAGGGGATGGGAGAGCTAGTCCTCTGGCAGGTGAAGGCTCTAGTTCATTCTAAAGAGGAAACAATTACCAAAGAAGCTGCCAGGACCCTGAGTTTCTCTCCCTGGGGGTGTTTGCAGCAGAACCCAGGCAGTCCTTGTTGAGTCTGATGCTATAAGGCAACTCAGCACTCAACAGTACAAGTGCTTTCAGTAGAAGCCACACCCCTTAGGTGAGCTCCTCCTCAAACTAGGAAAACAATCCCCCCCTCCCCCAGGTCTTCCTTAGAGTGAGGTAAACTGGGTAACAGCCTACTGGACACTTTGACTGACAAGAGCACTAACCAATGCAACACAAGTCCTGAGTACTTAGGATCACATGCAAGTAGGGACTCTGAGCAGGAAAATTCTAGAACCCACCATGCCCTACAGGTGGCTTAGGAAGCATCTTGGAATCACATAGCCATAAAGAGATCACTGTGATCACCATGCATAAGCAAAGGCTGGTAAGTATGTAATTGCTCAGTGGATTTGGGGTAGGTGACACATCAACACTAACACTCATATAACAGTGTGGCCTCTAAGAGAAAGAAGAGCTCAGAGAAGGTCCAGAAGACCTGGACTGCTATGTCAAGGGATAACAGGCACCCTTTTCAGTGAATGTGAGGCTCCTGACTTACAGGCTCCTGACTTACAGGCTCCTGACTTACAGGCTTCAGGACCCTAGCCCTCACCATCTATCTCATGCAGCTGCCTCAAATTCACACACACTGCGTCCCTTGCTTTTTTGCTGTTTATCATCACTAGGAAAAGCAGGTGCCTTGGTGTAGGTAAACTTTCAAAGAAGGAACAGGCAGGTAAGAAGACAAGTAAGAACAAACTTGCTTGGGTTATGAACAACCTGAAGAAAAATAAAAGTCCAAGAGATGTCAATGTGGGAACCCTGAAAGATCAGACGAAGCAATGCCAGGAGAAGAGGTCCAGCACCCACTCCGAGAAGTCGGGTTCGGTCTTCTCACTTACTCTAAAGCTCAAGAAAAAGGCACTGCAGAGCTGCGTGAAGAGCCCTCACAGAGTGCAGTATCTGACAGGATCCCTCATGTAAGTTTTCCTAAAACTGCCCACCTTTCATATAACATGATGAAACAAATGCAGGCCAGTCTTTAGCTGAGATGTCTGCTAAAGCTGGTCAGTAGTGGCGGCACACACTTCATCCCAGCACTGGGGAGGCAGAGGCAGGCGGATCTCTGTGAGTTTGAGACCAGCCTGGTCTACAGAGTGAGTTCCAGGACAGTCAGGGCTGTTACACAGAGAAACCCTGTCTCGAAAAACCAACCCACCCCCCCAAAAAAAAGATGTCTGCTAAGGCTCTGGCAAGTGTGTTCAATAAAAGCATAGAACTTTCACCCAGAGATTTTGTTTTACAATAAACAAGAAATCAAGTAAAGTTGATGTTGCTGTTTTATATGTACAAGGCCCAGAGTACTTTTCAAAATGCAAAATTACTCCATTTATTCCTAGTAGCAACCTGAGTGAAGTATCTTCTAGTGTGAAGAGATCAGGACAGAGGCGATTAACATATCTCGGGATGCACATTGACCAGGAAACAGGAAAGTCAGAGCTAGAGCACAAATTTTACTGCTCCCCAAACTCAAGCTGTTTCTGTTCTTTCCGTGAGGTTTCATGCCCTAAGTTTCCTTACTGAGGAAGTGGGAATAGAGACAATTTAGGACGTTACCTAACCATTTCCTATCATCCAGCCCCGCTCCCCCTCCCTTTAAGTCTTACTCTGTTAATAGATCCCACAACTGAGCAGTCTGCCTCTGTCAGAGTAATCCATTTCGGTCTAAGTGCAGACTGGTCTGAAATCCTATTATCTCACCAGTGGAAAGGCCTTTAAAGGTAACTAATCCAGCAGCCCTGCAGAAGCCCGATTTCTCTGCACGCTCTCCTTGACCTAACCTCACCTACCTAAGCTCACAATTGCAATTACTCACAATCCTCTACCAGCTATCAGCTGTAGCCTCAGTAAGGAACAAATCCACCACCCTGAAAGAGTGAAGTAGGGGTGACACTTCCTGTGTCCCATGAGGATAAGGGTTCTTTCTCATCAGGACACAGGAGGTGCCCTGACTTCAGACATGGCAGCTTTCCCAGACTGTTCCCATTCCCATTTCCCGCACAGCAACAGCAAGGCATTAAACGAGAGAGGAGGAAGAAGCCTTACCTTTCTTTGCTTCTCTCAATAGCTCCCCTGGAGATCAACAAGGCCCCCACCCCCACCCCCCTAACTCTCCATTTTCAAAACTGAGACTCAGGTCCACCAAAGCACAGCTTCTCTCCACTTATCCAGGTCCAAAGTCCATGGCCAGGTGGACCCTGACCGGGAGGAGTCTGGGGGGGAAGGGGTGTGTCCAGGCCCCTCCCCCCCCCCACTGCTGACTTCAGTGTCCCTCCCAGGCGCCTATTACATCCCTTCATCCAGCTGGCTTCTAAAGCTCAGAGGCTCGTGGTAGGCAGATTCCAGGTATCATGCCATCTCTTGCTCAGACAAGAGGAATCATCCACTAGTCCACTTGGGTTCTGCTGGCGCTCAGAAGACACAGGCTTTAACATCGACATGGCCCAGGAGGCTGACTTCTGGGTGAACCTGTGGAACATTTAAACATTATGACACTCTCTAATCCAAATATCCCCACATGGATTTCTGCGAACTCCGTATTTACCAGTTCTTTACAGTGTTCAACCAACAAACTCTCTTAACTGCGCCACACAATTTGTATAAAAAGTACATACTTCATGCACGTACAGCACCACCATCATGTATGTGTTCTTGTGTCATGCCTATTCTCAGTAACCAAAACTACTGTCAGTGTGGGAAGACTGTCTTCCAGAAAATACAGGAAATAAGGTCCCACTCTCTGAAACACCATTTACTAATCCTATCTCTTAAGCTTCTCCCGGTGTTCGGTGTTTTAATCCCCTACCTCCTTTCAATTAGACTAAATCCTACCCAGACCTAGAGATGCTGGCACCTTCCACAGGAATCCCAGCAACCCTCACCTCCCCCACCGTTTCCAAAACTATGCCAAGGACGCAATTCCCAATTTCTTCCAAACTCCTTCACAGGGCCACTCCCGAGAGCACTCTTCTGGAGTATTTTGGGGCCTGGGTCCCGCTTACAGTAACCCCAATTTCTCAGTTACGGAGCCTTCCTTGGTGCCCCTTCCCTCCGTGAGTTTTACACAGACACACACACGCACACGCACGTACCCTCTTCCTGTAGGGGCGTGGCGGACACAGGACACCCCCCGCCAAGAACTTAACTCCTCCTACCCTTCCCTTCCGAACCCCGCGCTCCGCGTTCTCACGGCACAGTGACACCGAGACCCTCCCAGCACTCGGAACCCTCGCTTCCGCCGCGCGGAAGACTCAGTCCCTCACACCACGGGGTCCTTACCTGCACCCCGCCCATCCGATCCCGGCTGGAAGCCTCGGCCCTCCCAGCTCCAGATCCAGGCCGGGGCCGGTCCCAGCTGCCAGCAGGCCCCACCCCCTCGACCCCCTGCGGCCCGGCCCTCCCCTCGCGCTCTTTTCCCCCTCCCGCCAGGCGCCGCAGCCACTTCCGCCCGTCCTCCGGAAGTAGGTCCCGGGCACCCGCTGGCTCCTCACGTCCCGCCCATTCGCCTGGCCCTTGCCCGCCCATCACCACCACCACCACCACCACGGGAGCACGGGAGGTGGGTCTGCACGCTTGAGCCAGTTCTACAGCGTTCGCGGGGTGGAGGACGAGGCGTTGCCGAACCCCCTGTGAGGACGTAGGGGGGGGGGGCTCAGGGCGGGAGCCGCGCACCAGGGGGCGGGGCTGAGGCCTAGGGCGGGAGCTTGCGTCACTCTGAGCGGCGCGGGAAGCAGCGCGCATGCGCCTCCGGTCTTGGGCCGGTCGCGCGAGTTGACGCTGCTGCTGCCGGAGGGGGAGGAAGGTGCGCCGACTGCCCTGCCTCTATCTCACCGCCGAAGGTTGCCTAGCAACGGCCTGGTTGAGGTGGCCTCTGAGACCAGGGGCCCTTTTAGGTCTTTTAGGCACTCTTTATGCTAAAAGCCAGTAAACGACAAGGCCCGTTGTAACAAGCCTGTCACTGAGCTGAGTTCCCTGAGTAACAGTGCCAGAAAAAGTTCTATTTCACTCATCGCTATTTTCACTGCATCCCTCAATGAAGTAGGACCATCCTGAAAGGATGGAGAGCCCCGTTACTGAACACGCACTGTGCTGAGCTCTGTATAACTAGTAACAATATCAACGGGTCAGAACCCCACATGGTCTCCTAGAGCGGCAGGCTGCAGAGACTTAGATCCTACTGGAATCTTACAGTTGGTAACTGACCAAATCCGTGACACCTGGTCATATGGACGTGCCTCTGTTAAGTGCCACCTGTTTTAAAGGAGCCTACTCTGGACCCTGGAGAGAGAGCTCAGCGGCTAAGAATACTTGGCTGCTCTCACAGAGGACCTGGATTCAGTTATCAGCACTCACATGGTGGCTTAAATGTCTGTGACTCCAGTTTCAGGGGATTGAGTACCCTCTTCTGGCCTTTGGGCCACCAGGCATGCATGTGGTGCATGTCAATGCATTCAGACAAGACACACACAAAGTAAAAACCTTTTTTAAATAAACTGATCTTTGAAGCACCAGACTGAAAAGTTCCAAACTGCACTGTTTATTTTCCTGGATGCAAAATACCCTTTAAATCTAAAGATTCTAGTTTTTATTTTATTCCAGTTCTGCCAGCAACCAACTGTGATACTTGGAAAAGTTGCTAGAACTTTCTGTACCTCAGTTTTCTCATACCTACAATAATAATAATGAAAGGCCTTCTTAGCTTATTCAATTAGTGTGAGCATTAAATGAGTTAATATATGGTAAGTGCTTAGAACTTTCCCAGTCTGTGTACTAAGGGCTCAAAATGCCTGTTAACTCTTCTTAGGATTTAGTCACAAACATTTCCATGCAGTAATTTGGGTTTTTTTGTATGTCTGTTTTTTGTTGTTTTTGTTTGTTTGTTTGTTTGTTTTTGATATAGGGTCTCTTTATGTAGTCCTGGCTGTTCTGGAATACACTCTGTAGTCCAGGCTGTGCTTGAACTCACAGAGATCCTTCTGCCTCTGCCTCCTGAGTGCTAGAATCAAAGACCAGTGCCACCATACCTGGTCTCCTTGCAAGAATTTGACAGCTTTTAGAGTATCTTTTATTTATTCTTGGATAATTTGGTACATGTATACAATGTGTCTTGATCATACCATACCCATCCCTATGCTTTCTGGGCACCCTCCAACATGTCCTCCTCTCGCCTCCACCATCTGTCTGTCTGTCTGAAACTCACTGAGCCTGGTTGTGCTGGAATGTTTGCTGATCTTGTTGATTTGATGGTGAGCAGGTGACTATAACTGACCACACTCAAATCTAATCAGAAAGTGGTCCGTTGCCCTCATCACCTTCATGTCACTGTTGAACCAGTGAGCATAATAATACCACACTGTGTTTCAGAAGGAAACAGTCCTAAAAAAGACCTGCTTTGACCTCTTATTTACAGTCTCATTCTTCCAGGTTATCCTGTCTTCCCAAGAGTCCCTTTTCCATTACCTCACTGCATATGTAATCATTAGTCATTGTACCATTTCCTAAAATCAGTGCCCTTCAGCAATTCCAGGTGGTGAGGGTAGAATTTTCTAGAATACTAAAGACTAAATTTCCCCCTTTTCCTTATTCATGTTCTATATATCTTTTAAAAATGTTAATTTAGCCAGCATTTGCACTTGTGATGTAAAACAGCAGAGCATGTGACAAACACAGATACCTCAGGAGCTAAGGTGTAAAGCTAGAGACTTTATAGATGCTATGAAAAAATCTGAGTAAAATCAGAATATTAAGCAACAACTTGGGAGTCTCACTTCCTTTATAGGATTAAGGCTATGTAAGTGCACTTAGAAAATGAAGCACTTTATTTTTTCATTTCACCATGAAAGTATTTTTTTAAACTTTTTTCATGTCATATCCTGATTTATTTAATCCTTGAATTGTGATTTTTAACTAATTTTACTTTGGACATTTCTTTCTAGTTAAATTATATACTTCTTAAGAGTAGACATTTACCTTTAAAACCTCATTAGTGTGTGTGTGTGTGTGTGTGTGTGTGTGTGTGTGTGTGTGTGTGTGTGTGTATTCAATTTGATGAGTATTTTATGTAGGCTCAAGAGATTGGATTTCCCCTTCACCAAGCTAGGCTACAGAGACCTATCCTTTACTTTGCCAGAGGTATTCATAAGGAACAGAGGAGACCATGAGTGTGGAGACCCTTTTAAAACTGGATCTTACCAGTTTTATCTGGTACCTGAGTACCTGAGTATCTGGTCTGTAGTACCTGAGAGTTGACAGGCAGTACTCAAAAATGCCAAGGTGCTGTGTATACTGAGCTTTCAGGGGAAGCACTTACAGTGCCCTTCTCACTTGCAAATGGAAAGAGACTTGAGCATCTGCTCCCTATTGTCTATGACCTGGCCTCTCTTCTTGAAGTTCTTAAAATACAGCTGATATACTAGAGAAAGCCAAGTTTTGGAGGCTTTTTGTTTGTTTTTGTTTTTTGAGACAGGGTTTCTCTGTGTAGTCCTGGCTGCCTGAAACTTACTCTGTAGACCAGGCTGGCCTCCAACTCAAATCAGTCTACCTGTCTCTGCCTCCTGAGTGCTGGGATTAAAGGCGTGTACCACCACCTCCTGATGCCAAGTAGTTCTTAAATGTATTCTTTACCCATAGGTTCTGACTTTTCCCATGTCTATGTGTGAATTTGCATTTTTTCATTTCTGTGCTTCTTCAGACTGGCCCAAATAGGAGTTGCGCTAGTAATACACTGGGGTGGGGGACCACAGACTTCACAACAGCCCAATCTACCACAGTGCCGGCCACTTCACAGTGGTCTCACTGGTAAGTGACAGTCAGTGTGTGTGTGTGTGTGTGTGTGTGTGTGTGTGTGTGTGAGAGAGAGAGAGAGAGAGAGAGAGAGAGAGAGAGAGAGAGAGAGAGAGAGAGAGAGAGAGAGAGAGAGAGCATGGATTTAGTCCTAGGAACTGTTAAAGAATTAAAATTTTCAGATGTTTAACCCTGCTAAGAAAGTCAAACCATTTGAGGCCATGGTTGGGCTTATCAGGCTTCCTCGATGGGATTTGTCAATAAATATTGGGAACAGTGCAGGCAGTTCATCCTAGGGAACAAACCAGAGACTGTTGTCCTGAGTCCCCCAAAGACTTCAGACCCAGCTCCTTTCAGCCTTGGATGTTCCTTCTCCATTTCCTGAAGTTACCAGACTTTCTTACCAACTTAAGTGCCATTCTCCTTGAAACTTCCCTTGCCTATACTAAAATTCATTCTAAATAGTGGTCCCTGATTTTATTCCTTTCTATATTCCTCAGATCCACAATATCCATACTAATGTCCAGAGAAGAGTTGGAAAAGTGGAAAAGTGAGCATCCCTCAGTACAAAGAAGACTGGAGCAGTCATGGAAGAAACATGGGTTCTGGTGATTCGCTGTGTGGAAATCTTCCCTTGAAGAGGTTATGGAATCAAAGCTATGAAAGAGGAGTAGAAAAGAGAGTTATAAAATGCTGAAGATTTGCCGGGTGGTGGTGGTGCACGCCTTTAATACCAGCACTCGGGAGGCAGAGGTAGGCGGATCTCTGTGAGTTCAAGGCCTGGCTGGACCGACAGCCTCCAAAACAATACAGAGAAACCCTGTCTCTTAAAATAAAAAAAAAAAATGCTGAAGATTTAACTTGGCAAGTTATGAGAAAAGAAACTGGATATCTAGGAAGAGATGGAACTTAAAATATGAGTGATTTTTACTGCTTAAAAAAAAAAGCTACAGAATAGAATGCAGCCAGCAAATTGATTGTGCATGGAGAAATCTGAACCAAGAGGGCCAAATTTGTAGAATAATAAAAGTAGAAAATAGATGTTCCATGAACAAAACAACATACATCATCCCATTAAAAAGTAAGGAAATTTGGGGAGCAGGAATCTATCTTGCACAGGAGGAGCTATGGCAAAGAGATAAGAGCACACTCTAGTCCCTGCAGTCCTGAGTGCAAATGCTGCCGTACTACACTCTGTGTGCCCAGGTTTCCCCACTTGCCAAATAGGAAAGTAGCCAGTGCATAATTGTATGAAAATGAGAAACACTGCAGGAATGATGCTGTGCTACACAAAATAAAAGCTCTAGTTAGCCATTTATTTGAAAGGAGGAAGTTTTAGGATAACCTTAAATTCTAGGGTTCCACATATGAACAAACGGTTAATGCAGGGCATTTATTGTTTTGTTTTTTGAGACAAGGTTTCTTCTGTGTGACAGTTCTAGCTGTCCTGGAACTCACTTTGCAAACTGAATTTACTATCTACTTTCCTTTCTGAATCATTCTTAGACTTTCATATATTTAAATCTTGTCTTCCAGTATGGATTGTAGATGTAAGAACTTATGTTTTAGTCTTGAGTAAATTTTTTTTAATAAAGAATTTTAAATTGATCTGATAGCAACAGTTTCTATATCGGCAGCTAACAGTGTTCAGGTTTTTGTGCTTTGTTTTCAATGCCTCTTTGAAAGATCCAGGTTTCCTTACTAGGAGGTCTCTTTAAGTTAACAAAAGAAACCATTTAGGAAAGAGTAGTTTAGGCCACTCTTTATTAACTTTCTTCTGCTGAGTAAAGAGAAGGTAAAGAGTGCCCGGTGTCCTCTGGTGGGTCTTGCATTAAGCCAGAGACTGGAAGATAGGAGTCTGATCTTCACCTCAACACATGCTCATCGTGAAGTACAAATTTCAGTTTCTCTGCTATAAAACGAAAATCGTAAGAAAGGAGCAACCTTACACTACTGTTGAGAACATTATATAAAATGCATGTGCAAAGTAGCCTAGGTATGATTCTGGCTATAATCTCTCTCTTTTTTTTTTTTTTTTTTTTAACGAGCAGGGTTTCTCTGTATTGTTTTGGAGACTGTCAGTCCAGCCCGGCGTTGAACTCACAGATACCCGCCTGCCTCTGCCTCCCAAGTGCTGGGATTAAAGGCATGCGCCACCACCGCCCGGCTTATAATCTCTTTTTTGCATGAGATAAATCATGTATATATTTGGACATCAGCCTGTAGGGTGACAGAAGCTTCATAAGGTCTGGAGGTATTTCCAGGTTCCCTAATATCATGGTGCATCATTTTAAATACACTGCTTGTTGGAGCTGCATTTCTAGGACCCAGATCCATCTCATAATGCTAAGCCAAGGCAAAAAAAAAAAAAAGTGTGATTTCAGGGTACTCCTAACTGCAGAGTTTCCTGTGGCAACTCAAGGTGAGATCTAGTTTTAGTAGGAAGTCAATCTTACTGATGATTCCATCTTCCAGTCTGCTGCACTGGATGTTGAGGATGACTATCCATCTTCTAAAATCCTGCTAGTTGGTTTCATGACATAAATATCTCCTGGTTTCCCCCCACTACTTCAAAAACATTTTTATCTTGGTAAGTACACATAAATTTTTACCATCTTAGCCTTTTTAAAAGCAGTTAAATAGCCCAAGTGTATTCATATTTCTATGTAACTAATCTCCAGAACTCATTTCATCCTCCAAAACTAAAATTCTGTGCCCACTAAGCAGTAACTCCCTGAAACACAAAAAACAAAAGACCCAGAGATGGATATTGGGGTTCAAGCTGAAGATCAGAGAAGCAAAGGAGCCAAGCCAGTAGATATTACATCTACTAAGCTGAAATGGCAGTCCTGTCTCCACCAGTCCTCAAAGGCAAAAGCTCTCAGTTCTTATCTCTTACTGCCTTTTATTCCTTTCCCCCAGCCAGCCATAGCACTCCTGTCTCCACCTCCCTAGTGCTGGGATCAAAGGCATGCGATTCCAGGTGCTGAGATCACCTTTGTGTGAGCTGTTTCTTTTAGAACTGGAACAATTTCGGGTAGTCAGTGTGACTTTGAACAGAGATCCTGAGTCCTGGCATTTAAGGTGTGTACCACCATCGCCTAGCTCTGTGGCTGCTGGGATTATCACCACTGCCTGACCTCTATAGCTCAAGACTGACTTTACTTTCTGAATCCTCAGGAAGGCTTTAATTACATCAGAAACAATATATCACCATAACTCCCCATTTCCCTTTACTGGTAGACCCTGCCTTTCACTTTATGTCCATGGAAATGACTGCTCTGTGCACCTCATTTTAGTGAGGTTATGTGTTCATGACTCCATTACCACATGTATGTTGAAAACCTCACATCTTTATCTCCTGCCCAGATGTGTCTACTGAAATCCAAACTCCCTGGAAGGCCTTCTGGCTACTGTTTCCAGTGCACCTCTCTAAAATAGAAACTCTCTACCAAAATCTCCTTTGTCCTTGTGTTCCATATCCAGAAGAGTGTCACTGCCCTTTAACCTGCTACAGAGACTATTGCTTTTCTGCTTCCCTAGTATCATTTTTCTGTGTATTTTATAATTTTACCATTTCTTCCTAAGGGACTACTTTCTTCACCCTCATTCCTAGTTCTTTAAGCAGCCTTATTACTTAGACTTGTGTAATGTAAGCAATCCATAATTCTCAACCTTTCGGAAAATCCTGATGGGCTTTGCATACATGAATTGCTAATTCACTGGATTGCTATAACTGTTATGACTGCCCTTCTAGCCCATCCCTATTCCTTTGTAACACCTGATGGTCTGCAGAACCACTCTACCAGGGATTCCCATTGGCCACAGTGACTCAGGTAGGTGACCTTCATTATCCTTTCTGCTTCCCCTCCTCTCACTCCTCCTCCCTTCTCTGGAGACTCTGACTCTTGGTGAATATCCCGAGTGGCCCTAGTTGTTTCCCACTGTGCCTTTCAGCCTTCCCTTGTAGCCTACTTCCATTCATTTGTGATACCTGCTGACCCACAGAAACACTACCAGGGAGCCCACAGCCACCACACTTAGTTAGGATCCATAGTGGGCAACAGTAACAGAACACCCACCTGGCAAAGATGAGATATTTATGCAAAAAAACACTTCAGACATCTCACTCCAGATGCCTAGATCCCAGCGTAAAAATAAATAACAATGCACAGCCAAGACAGTATGCCTCCAGAAGGTTGCAACCTTACTGTAGTAGGCCCTGAGGAGAGCAGTTTAGCTGAAGCACAGGACTTCAAAATAGTTAGGAATAAGTTTGTGGACCATAAGGAGGATACGATGAATGTTTTCAGTGAAGGCTATGGCACAAAGAATTGAATGAAATGATGAAAAAAGTTCAAGACAGGAAAGTAGAACTTAAGAGAGAAATAAAATCACTAAAGAAAATCCACACTGAAGTTAAAATAAAAAACTCACGGAGTCAAAAACTGTAGAGGTATGCTTCAACAAGTTAAGACATGGAAGAGAATTTCAGTTCTTGGAAAGTTAGAGGAAATGGAAGCTCAGTTAAAATGTTAATTCTAAAAGCCCATGAGATGTTAGAAGACTTGGAAAGTCAGTTAAAGAAAATATTAAAAGTAAGTCCAGGTACAAAACAACTGATTAAGAGATGAGACAACCAAGTTACAGATAATTTCTACAACTTCATCAGTGCTCCACAGCTAGGACTTACTTGGACTGCTTCAAGACCCTCATTGTGGGGTGGGAGAGGGAGCTGGGATTGACATGTGAAGCATTTGTGCTTCTAATTTAAATAAAAACATATATTGAGGGAAAAAAGGCCCTCATTGTGACTATTAACCAATATGTTGCTTCTCACAATTCTGTATAGAACTGCAGTCTGATGGATGTGCTCTGAAGAACTGGCCTAGCCTGTGGGGTCAGAAATCCTCCACAACAGACAAAAGTATATTTAATCATTCCTTGCATTAGTTTTCTACAAATTACCACATGGTAACAATGCTAGTAGTTTTTGTGTCAACTTTGCACAACCTAGGGTCATTTGGAAAAAAGAAACCTCAATTGAGAGAATGTCCCCATGATGCTGGCATGTAGACAAATCTGTAGGTGTTCCATGGTTAGTGATTGATGTGGGAGGACCCAGCCCACTGGGTGGTAGTACCCTTGAACAGGAAGACTTTGCGTTTTATTAGAAATACTGGGAAAGTCAGTAAGTAGTATTTCTCCATGGCTTCTGTTTCAGTTCCTGCCTGGATGAAATAAACCTTTTCCTCTCCAAGTTTCTTTTGGTCATGCTGTTTATCACTGCAATAAAAAGCAAACTAGTTCAATCTGAGCATGGTGACCCACACCTTTAACCCTCACATCAGAAGGCAGAGGCAGATGGGTCTCTGTGAGTTCAAGGCCACCCTTGTTTACAGAATGAGTTCCAGGACAGCCAGAGCTATACAGAGAAAGTCTCCAAAAAGCTAGAACAGTATAGTGGCAGGAGGAGAATTAAGTTACAAAATGCAGGAAAAACGCCAGCATGGAAGGCTGAGAGAAGGGAATGGTTCTGATTCCTGGGTAAACATGATGATTATTACCAATTCCCATGTTCTCTCTTGAGATAATAGGCCTTTGGCAAGACTGTATTACACCTCCTAGAGTTGGATCTGTGGTAGCAGATCACTATCACAGGAAGCATAGTTGCCCTGGCTTTCCCCAGTGGTTTGCCAGAAACAGTAACTGTCCATGTTCTGAGTTACACAGGATGATCAAAGTAAGAAGGTCACTCCAAAATGTAATTCAAGGCTCTACAGGGGCAGAGAGGAACAGTCTTGATAAACTGAACTTCGAACTGCTGTGCAGAAGCTTACCTATTGGATGTTACACAAAAGTTGTTTTGGGGGTAAAAACAAGTTCCTCATACCACAGCCCCTAATCTAATCTGTATGCTTCAGGAAGGAAAACATCAACCCCTGCAACTTATTATGCACTGTTCGCAGTATTTAATAATGCAAGACATTCAAGTGTGACAGAACCATCATGTGACCAAAGTCAGGCAAAGGATGTAACGCTTCTTCAGGAAAACAACTCTATAAATAATAGAAAACAATTACTGTTTCCTACAATGATTTCTTCAAGGTCAAAAAGTACTTCTAGAAAACAGCCATTCTAATGTTTACCCTAGATACAATGATTCTACTATAATTCCATCACAAGTAACACTGTTCATAAGTCCTAGTGTGTTAACATTCCATGACTTCTGTTACACGGAAAGACTTCTCCATGATGAGACTTTGGATTTCTGTTCTTTGGCCTTGCTGTCTATGGAACCATGGAGAGCTTGGTAGGGGACTTCATTGTAGTTTCCTCTTTTTTCCATTCTCCTCACTTGATTTCATAAGACTGCACTACTAACAATGTACTAGCATATAAACTATCTGTTCCAGTCTCTTTCTGGGCAAAAGTACTTTTCCATGGAAACATGGCAGTTACTTTCCCAACCAAATCTTAATCATTATACATCCTTTGTGGAAGATCCAATTTACTGGCTTCCTCGAATGATGCCTATGAAGTATTCTTGGAAAAACTGTTAAACCCCAATTTAATCAAACCCTTTAGACTTTGTTTGGAGGGTGATACTTAAACATATATAACACTAGAAAGCAAGAGATAAGCCAAGAATATGCAGCCTTCTTCAAGTTAGCTACCCAGATTCTTCAAATCTGTACCATATGTCAAAACCATATAGAAGGGAATGTGGGGGAGATTTTCCAGATTAACCTCCAGATGGAATCTCAAACTTGGTTGCATCATAGATTAAAGTTCCATAAAAATCTTCAGAAGACAATTAGATAATGTAAAAAATGACTTCGGGGGATTGTGAAATGGCTCAGAAGGTAGGGGAGCAGGCAACCATGCCCGACAACTTAAGTTGGATTCTTGGAAACTACATAGTGGGAAGAACTGACTTTCCCTGTTTGTCCTTTAACTTGCACACATGCATTATGGCACAAGTGCCATATACACACATAAATTTATTTTTAATGACTTGTATATTAGTTGTGAGTACTAATAGAATATAAGTGCTAAGTTCTTTTAATATGATAGTGGTATAATTCTATAAAGGTTGTCTTTATTAGGTGGTCCACATTGAAGAGTTTTAGCAATCATTGTGCTGTTTCTACTATATGTTTAAAAATATTTATATCTATGTGTTTGTGGAAAATAGAATTCAAATTTTGTAAAATGTTGGCACATTGAATGTAAGTTGAAGGCATTTATAGTTCCAGTCTATTGCTACCTAAGTGTGTAACTAGGTCAAAGTTAATATATATCCCTATGTGAAGAAATGTGTTAATCATCTTATTTTCTTAAGCCAGTTTCATGTTAGCAGCCAATATGTGATCAGAGGCTAATTCATACACCTCAAAGTGAATAGTCACACCCAAGTTGCTATGCTCTCAAGAGCTTTTTACCTTTCCTGTCTCTAGCAATTAATCAGGTAGGAAAAAAAATCAATGTCATTTCTGCATACCCAAATTCTTGTTGGCAGAATAATCAGCAAGTAGTTCAGAGAGCTGCTTCCCATAAAAAGCTGCATTCAATTTGCAGAAGTTGGAGGCAGTGAAGCTTTCCAGAGAAATTATCCTTTAGAGGTAGATTTCAATTGATGGTGCAGGCTTCTTAGTGACAGACAGATGTGAATTAAGTAATATTTTTAAATGTTATCTCAGGCTTCTGATGTTAGCGCCTCATTTTTACTCAATGTGAAACTTCCCCAACTTGGTTTATTAATGTTTTGTTTTGACCCAGTTTTCCATCATTGACCTGGTCTTGATCCCCAAGATGTCTCCAGGAAGATGTGCTCCTGCTTTTTCACTGGACATCTGACTGACCAATCTCTGTCCTTTCTCCATTACATGTGGAAAGCATGCTTACATTACAGTTATGCAATCCATCTGGATACCTAAACCCTGAACTCAAAAGGGTCTTGTCCAAGTGGAAATGTTTCCATTTTGTTTTGAGAGCAGCTTCTCTAATGTATATAAGTACTTATAGTTCACAAATGTTCATTCTTCCCATGTGTAATAATAAAAGTAATCTTGCAGTCAAAGGCTAAGCTTGTGGCAAACAGCACCCAAATCTTAGTGTCTTATAAAGAAAATAGTTTTCCCAGAGGCAGCACTGTTTCAGGCTATGGACCAATTAGTGTTGTGTCATTTACCTCTGATTCTTTTCACAATTGGCTACCCAAATGAGACTCAACTCTTGAAGGATGACAGCATGCCAGTGGCAAGCAGAAGCAAAATCCTTGTTGACCCAAAACTGACACACTATCATTTCTGCTCATACTCATTGACTACAGCCCAGTCTCAATGAGGTGATATTATATGCTCCATCTTGGTGAATCTTGTGAAGGGTAAGGAGAGAAAAAAAACTGTAGGCAAGTATACCTTAGCTTCCCTTGAGCTTGGTACATACTTGCAACTAAGTTCTGACTAAAAGAATATGAGAAAATGTGATATACCACCTCTTGTCCTTGCTGGCCTAAGACCTGCCTTTCCCCTGCACACCAGCTGGGAACACAGTAGAATTACAGATACTGGTGGAATGGCTGTCTTGTCAACCTTACCTCTAGCCTGTTACAAGCATCTTATTCATACTTACAGAGTTTTGCATTTCAGTTATAGTAGAACAAGTGTATAATTCATTCATTCAGAAACTATTCACTGGAGGTCTTCTTTGTGCCATGGATCATGCTTGGCCTTGGAGAATTGACAATGGGCAAAGCCATGGTTGGCTGTTTTGTATTTTGAATGACACAAATGTTGGCATGAATAAGTTGGATAGAAGTTATAAAGTTGTATAGAATTAAATCTATAGTAATGCAAGAAAAACTGGACAAACAATATACAAGATCTTTGGGCTGTAACAATTTTAACTTCCTAGTGTGACAGTATTCTATGATTTTACAAGATGTTACTGAAGAGAACTAGGTGAAAGGTCCACATGATATTTGTAGTCTCACATCTGTCTGCATATGAATCTATATAAGCTCAAGTGAACAGAAACTCAAGTTCTTTGTTTCATGTTTATGGCCTAATTACAAGACCAAGTTACAAAACTAAAAATATCAAAAAGGAGGTCATTGATGATAATTTGACTGGTAACAGCCCAACTCCACCCATCCAAATAATAGCAATGCCCCAATACAGCATTGTTTAAATGAGTTAAGCATAGAGATTTGAGGCAAGACTACTTAGCCTGAACCATGAAGCAAGAGTGGTACAAAGTACTTCTCTCTTTAAATAAACATCCATATAATTTATCACCCAGACAGAGACAATTGAAAATAATCAGACTGGAAGAAGTTGGTCACTCTACCTTTAATCTATTGTGGTGGTGTTTGTTATAACAACCTAGCCTCTTCTGACTAGTAGGTCAGTGGATGTTTTATAAGTTAGGATATATAAGTATGGGTAACAAATAAATCCCAAACCTCAGCAACTTAAATGTACCCACATGCTTATTTCTTGTTCATGCAAAAGATAATATGGTGTTTGTGTTCTCCTCCTGTCTTCTGTTCACCTCATTTTGATCACAACCTCCTGTGTTGTTAGAAAATAGAAAACAGAAAGGGGACATGATTTTATGGCCAATCCACTGGCTTCAACAAGACAGGCCTTCATCTTGCTCTTCAGGTTAACAGTTCACAGGTGAGTAGATGGGTTGGCCAGAGCAACAGTTGAAGTGCCTCAATGGGCCATCTGGACACCAGTGTTGGCTTTCCCTCAGCAGTCTATGACAGCCACAACTCAGTGAGACCCATTTTTGATTTCTGATCTCCAGAACACTAGGATACTAAATTTGTTTTAAGTCACAGACCTTTGGCAGTTTGTTAGAGCCATCAACTGGGGTTATCAAACTCAATGTGAATAGACCTTATCTTTTCGTGAGAATATAGACTGAGCTAAAGGCCAGGCTGCTTTGGAAAGAGTCCAGTGTTGTGACACAGGCCCATGTGGCAAGATAGTGAAACAAGGATGAGATGTAAACACGTAGACTGTTCTTTCCAGAGGCAGTGACTAGGGAAGAGTGTAACCATTAATTTCCTACACAGTAAGTATTGAGAAGTGTATGAGAAATCAACTACACTGTGACTAAAACTAACAGTGAGTTATAGGAAGCCCTCAGAAAGAATATAAAAAGATATGTTTTCAAAAGAAAGTGAGTCACTATAGAAATGTAAATACGATAATGTCATGTATGCTAAGATTCCTTTTGTTAGAAGTCAAAACCGTATGTTTGGAGAGGAAAGTGCCCATTTGGAGTAATGATGCTGAGTAGCAGCTAAGAACAGTGCCAAGCTGCTGGTTTGACTTCCCCCACATGTTGCCCTAGTGATGCTATGGCTGTTTCAGGAACTAAGAGAGACAGGCTGTTGTTTGAACAAATTCCTAGAAGGATAAATGGGCAGATTATTAATTTAGCTCTTTCCAAAAGTTACATAATACTTGAGTTTAAAGTGGTTGAATTCTAACAAGAATGAAAGGAATGTTCCAGTTCTGGTTGGCTCTATCCTTCTTAGGGATCTCAGACAACAGAGCAGATTTGTGGTGTGCTGAATCTGTTTCTTCTCTGCCATAGCCACTATCTTCCTTTTATTAAACCTTTCAATCCCTGGCTAATCGATAAAGAACTTGGTCTAACCTTGCAGTTGGCATGTGGTCCCTTCCCTCCCATCCCTAGCCTTCCTACAATATTGTAGTTATGGGACTGGCTGAAGGAATACTGTCAGGAAGGTAAAAGAGGTGAGTTAAGAATCCCCAATTAGACCCTATAGTAAGTGTCGTGAAGCTGCTCAGTCATTGCTTTTTGAAAAAGTTCAGGTGTGGCATTTGGTCACTATCCTCTGCTCCTGACTGATGAGACACAATTGTGACAAGTTAGTAATGAACTCCTAGTTTCTCCTAAATGCATCAGCCATAATGGGACAGTCAACTTCAGGTTAAGTTGAAGATTTGTGGGTCCAAGAAAGATTCAGAACATGCCCTTCCAAAAGCTCATCAGTGTTAGCTAGTGCATCAGTCTGTTTTCTATTGGTATAGCAAGGTACTTGATGCTGTGTAGATGATAATGCAGAAGCTTTTTTTTTTTTTTTTTTTTTGGCAGCTGAAAGGTTCTGAACAGCATTGTGCCAGAGTCCTACTGAGATTACCTGGTTGCATCACAGCATGGCAGAGAATCTAAAGGGGAATCAGCCATTTATAGAAAGAATGCTCTAAAAATGTAAGGTTGGAACTGGCTTACTAACATACTAATGTTTTGAGAGCTTACTAGTTGCAGGAGACCAGCATTAGGCCCTTTCCAGGGGTGATAGCCATTACAACTTAACAGATGACTACTAGACTCGTCTCTTCAAGTTCTGGCCACCTCAACACCACAGCTCTGGGAATGATGCTCCAGAACATGAAAACTTGGTAGAGGGGCTCTCAAGTTATATTCAAGCCATAACAGCTAGTTCCTGAGAAGAAACAAACAAACTAGATAGCTTCCAAGGTTCTAGATGTGGGAGGAGGGAAGAGTGGAGCTCAGTAAAGATGCAACTTTTCCCATAAAAGCAGCTTTTTTAAAAAGTTCTTTTCAGTAGGAGGGAAGTGGTAAAACTACAAGAAGAAAGGAAAAAATTAGTATTGCTATTACAATATTTCTATTATAATAACAGACTTGGCTTCATCTTGATTTAAAAGAAGAAGCCTTCTGATAAAGCAAGAATGTAGGATACCCCATGCCTTGGCTTTGTTTTTCTTTTAATGCAATATTCAGAGAACAGGGCCTAAGAAAAAACTCTGGAAGTTATTTAAGCAATTTAGAAAATAGAAATTAAAGATACTTTTTTTGATACAGGGTCTCACTAGGTAGCCCTGGCCATCCTGAAACTGACCATGTAAAACAGGCTGGCCTTTAAACTCACAGAGACCTACCTGCTTCTGCCTCTGAGTGTTGGAACTAAAGGCATGTGCCACCATGCCTGGCTAAGATACTGAATTTAAATGATCTTAAGATATCACAACTATCAATAGGTAGTAAATCTCTTTGATTTCAGATATCATTTTGTAAAAAGTAGAAGATAAATTGCTCTGTGAGACAAACAGAAACAAATGGAAAGAATAGCAAGCACCCCCCTCCCCCAACACAGCTTTACTAAAGCCAAAAGACTTTGAGCAGGGAAATTTTTGTTCAGTTGAATTCATTTTAGAATCTTGAATTTAGAGCAAAACTTACTTAGCTCTTGAGCCAAGTTCCTTATTCCTGAAAAATTAATAAATATCAAGAAAGACTGTGAGCTGTGAAAGAATTCTGTAGGAAATGAAAGTCTCAAAGTCACAGGCTTGCAGAATGTAGCCAATCAGAATTATACAGCACTCTTTGTTTTCTTCGAGACAGGGTTTCTCTGTGTAGCCCTAGCTGTCCTGCTCTGTAGTCAAGGCTGGCCTAGAGATCCACTTGTCTCTGCCTCTCAGCTGCTGGGATTAAGGGTGCGCACCACGACTGCCCCCCAAAATCCACTCTTAAATACTCGGACAGAGGAAATCTAATGATGTGCATCAGTGACTACCCAAAAATAGGCATCATAAAAAGCAAAATAACAAATGTTAGGGGCTTGGAAGATGACTCACTCCATAAAGTATTTGCCTTGCAAGCATGAGAACCTGAATTTGATGCCCAGACCTCTGCCTCATACCAGGAATGGTGATATATTCTTGTAAACCCAGTGCTGAGCAGGCAGTCAGGCAGATCCCTAGTACCTTCTGACCAACTAGTCTAACTTGATGTGTTTCAAGCCAGTGGGAAGCCCTATTTCAATAGAAGATGGACAACATCTAAGAATGACAGGCCATCTTCCTAACACAAACCAGAAAAATGAGGGGAGGGTGGGAAGACATACTATTGTCATGGAAAATAAAGCTAAATTTGAGAATTCTAAATTATAAAGTCTACAACTGAAACAAAAATTCAAATTAAATGCTCATTATATGCATTTAGTGGCAGATTACATAGCTGAAGAGAAAACAGCAGACTGGAAGACAAATTAGATCCAGAATAAAACTTGGGGAGAGGTGGTGGACTGATAGATGGGAATAAAAGGCCAAGAGACACAGGAGATATGGTGAGAAGGTCAAATATACCTTTATTTAAATCCTGGAAGGAAGAGAAGGGTGTATATCTAATATCTCAGCACTAGTTTACTGAGACATAAAGCCACAACTTCAGGAACACAAAGAACCAATATAGGATTACTAAAACAATTGTCTACTAAGATACTTTGTAGTAAAACACAAGTAACCAAAGACACAGAAGCAAACCTTAAAAGAAGTTTTTAAAATATATATTAAATAAATACATGGACAGAGTAAAATTCAGACAGGTGTTTGTTGTGGAAAATGAACATGGGATCCAGCCAAGAAATGTATTCCTAACAAAAAATATCTAGTTGGATATGGTGGCATATACTTGTGCTTCCAGCAGCTGGAAGGCTAAGGCAGGAAGACAGCAAGTTAGAGGCTAATCTGATCTATACAGCCAATTCATTGCTCAAAAAGTAGGTTTTAATTCAGTTTAAAAGAATATAATTTTCAAAGTAGAAGGCGAAAATAAAATAATTCTAATAGAATTCTAATAGAGTAATTCTGATATAATCTGAAGACGTCACAGGAAATAACTGAAATCAGATGAAATTAAAAGTCAATAAATTTTAAATCTAAAGCAATCAGCAGTCATGCATTAAAAGGCTAATGTTCCTATTAAAATGAATTATTAGACTGGATTAAACGATACCCCATGTTATTTCCAGATGGCAAATCTAACATGCAAAAATGCACAGAAACATTCAAAGTAAAAAAAATGGAGATAAGCCATGTAGCAATAATCAAAAGTTGGTCTATTAGTGCCAGATAAAAAGAGACTAAATAAGCAAAAGGCATCACCAGAATCAAGTTTTCATCCATAAAGTTTTAACGAGCTAGTTCTATATCCATGTGGCCTTAGTAAAACCAAATCCACAGTAAAGGGGAAACTCAACAAATTACCACTCATTAGTGACAGTGAATAAGTGTGGTACATTAAAGACTTAACCTAATGACTTCATGGAGCTGAGCACATCCATGTGTTCTTTTCCAGGGCTGTGAACAAGGCAAAACATGCTGGGCCTAAAGCAAGTCTCAGCACATTTTTAAGGACAGCAAATACAGAGTATGTTTTCTGAACACAATGAAATAACAAAACTATAACTAGGACATGTCAATGTTAGGGAGTCTAAAAATAAACTCCTAACTTCTTACAGAATGTCTACCGATTCCATCCTTTTCATTTCTAATTTAGATTATTCATATTTTCTGGTTTTTCTCATTAAATCACACCAAAAGTTTATCGATTTTTTTTTTACATTTGAAGTGCCAGCCTTGACCTTGTTGATCTCTATTGTGTTGTTTTTCATTAATTTTTATTCTCTTCCTTGCTTTGAACTTTTGAAAATAAGACAGATTATGCAATTTAGCAATAATGTCTATATTGTATGTTTTGAAGCTCCAAGACACTATTATCAGAGTTAGCTAGAAGTCTTGGCAGCTGACAGGGGGTGGGAGATATGAGAGGAAGAGAACTCGCTGTGCCTTTTGAGTTAGTGTCCAAGAAAACAGGCAAGTTTAGCATGGAGGTCACGAGACAGACAGCTGCATGGCAGAAGTGGGAGAGATTCAGAGAAAGAATAAGACAGACCAGTGTCAGGGCAGCCTGCTTAGGCTTTTGACCAGTGAGCAAAAGAGACAGAAAGATGGGAAAGACAAAGTTATAATCTTTGATTTAGAGCTTCAGGGAGGGAGCAGACAGTGCTGCATTACAGAAGCTCTGGAAGCAGCTGTCTGCATGGTATTTTTAACAGAAAATGTAGGCTTCATTGGGAGTGGTGCTACATACCTAAAACCCCCAGCACTTAGGAAGCAGAGGCAGGACTGCAAGTTACAGGCCAGCCTCATCTATCGGCAAGTTGCAAACTAGCTAAGCATACACAGTGAGGGCTGTCTCAAAAACAACAAAAATAAATAAAACAAGGAACCTAAATGGCTCAGTGTGTAAAACTGCTAGCTACAAAGTCTGATGACCTGAATTCAATTCCCAGAACATCACATATGAATATGTGTGTGGCACACGTGGGGAAGCCAAAAGACAATTTACAGGAGTCTCTCTTTTTGGCCTTGTAGATCCCAGGGATCAAACTCAAGTTGTCAGGCATGGCAACAAGTGCCTTTACTCACTGAGCAATTTTGCTGCCCCCATCTCATTAACCCTTAAAGAATTGTGCTTTACAGATGAAAAAATTGCAGGCAGGACAAGAAAAAAATTCATAATCATTGAATTGACTGGAATATGGGCCCTAAATTTGTATCTGAGACCAGAGGAACTTTGCTCTCTTCAGTGAGTCCCTAACAACCCCAGGATCTCCTCTTATCTTCTTAGACCTTAATGGGCACTTACTAAAAATAGCCACAGTGAAGATAGTGGGAGCTTGGCACTCTATCATATCTGAGAATAACCAAGTAAAAAAATCATCACTACAACAAAAGCTAGAAGAGGAGAGGAGATTCATGGAAGCAAAATGTGTATAACATGTATATCTAGGTTGTCTAAAACTGCTTAAGCCAGAGATGGAAATTCCCACATCCTTCAGTTCATCTAATAGTGTCTATTGCTAGACTCAAGTTGGAGGCTCTTCTTGCTGAACCCCTCTGGCAAAGATAAAGCACACTTGCTCAGAACAACATATTTCTTACTTTAAAGCAAGATTACCACTGGGGGGGGGGATCCAAAAGCTTGGTTTTCTCACCTCTCTTCTCATTTTATCTTATATGGCATGAACCTTGGGGAATTTTTCTTGAGTTCCAGCTAAGAATTGCCTTCTATTACCTCAGGGTCTTGATGTTCCACAATGCTTGGAAGAGAGCTACTATTTGGCTAGCCATTCTTTTACATCCTCATTTACACTATTCTCACTTCAGGCACTCTTCCTTGGTCTGCAATTTTACTGACTGCTTTTACCTCATTCCCTTTGAGCTCACTATTACCCTGACAAAAGGCAGGTGAAGATACATCAAGGCAAGTGGTTTAGTTACTGGCCTGGGCCTATCTGAGAAGAAGTGAGTTTCTTTTATTTTTTTGGTTTTTCAAGACAGGATTTTTTCTGTGTAGCCCTCCTGGTTGTCCTGGACCTCGTTTTTGTAGACTAGGCTGGCCTCGAACACTCCAGAGATCTGCCTGCCTCTGCCTCCCAAGTGCTGGGATTAAGAAGTGCACCACCACTGCCCAGCCAAGAGCCCTCATTTAAATCCAGGTTTCCTGGTAGAGAAACCCTACTTTCAGCCATCAACCAACACTACTCATGGCTTGAGAAATGTTCAAACTAAATGGGAATATTCTCAATGGGCATGTAAAGATGGAATATATTTTAGGTAGAGACATGCTCTTGTCTTAGTGGTCAATCCAATGGGACAGTGGCAGGGACCTGGCTAGGGGACCAACCACCTTCAGGAAGATAGATTCATCCTAAAAGTAAGGTGCTTCTCCTTTCCAGAATTCTTAAACCCCTACTGCATTTCCAGGCAAGCCCCATGCTAATTCAATTATGTCTGCATGTCATTCTGAGGCCTATTTCTTTTTCTTCTCTTCTGAGGATTGACTCAGAGATCCACTTGCTTCTGCCCTGAGTGTGGTGAGATGCAATTTTTATAAATTTACCCCACTTCACAATCTTGGGGACTTTGTATCTGTAGACTTTAATTCTGGAAAATTCCCAGCTCAGTTCCCCCTACTCTTTCTCCTTCTCAACTATGATTAAATGCTAAAACTGCCTCTCTTCACTGAAAAACAAATCTCAATGGAACTTACCAATACATCTACATTTTCCCATTTTGTAGCTACATTCTAAGCAACTTAACACATCTCTCAGTTCAGTAACTGCTTTTTCATGTGTCTTGTTCTGTTGCCAAGTGCTTCTTTAAGTATTATAATCACCTAAGTATTTTTATAAATACAGTTAGTTCAGTAATGGCAAGCCTATTAAGTATGTTTCTGTTAGACTTCACTTACATTGTTTCCCAATATATAATTATCTTTGCTTCCAGATTACTGCCATTAAAAATTATTTATGAAAGCTGTGGAGGCACACACCTGTAACCTCAGAACTTTGGAAGGCAGAAACAGGATTGTGATTTCGAAGCTAAGCTGGGATAGAGTGACTGTGCCACAAAAGGAAAAAAAGAAAAGAAAGGAGATTAAATTTCTGTGCCTGCCATGTCTCAGACTGCTGTTACCTAGACCCGAGTAAAACCAGAAATGTTTTCACTTTCTCTTCTACCAGTCTGTTATTAACAAGGCCATTGTGTCTACACAGAGGTTGGCTGATTTGTTTTACTATCACTCTGTAGGGTATAGCCGTTTTTTGAGAATGCAATGTAACTTTTTAAAGGTCTCCCACTCATCACTATGGTGATAGTTTGGAAGAAAATGGCCCCCAAAGAGTGGTACTATAAGGTGATGTGGCCTTGTTGGAGTAGAATGGTCTTGCTGAAGGAAGAGTGTCACTTGGTGGTGGGCTTTTGAGGTCGAATATATGCTCAAGATACAGCTCAGTGTCTCAGACCACTTACTTTTGCCTGCAAGATGTTAAGAACTGTCAGCTCCAACACCATGTCTGCCTGTACACTGCCATATCCCACCATGATAATAATGGATTGAACTTCTGAACTGTAAGTGAGCCACCCCAATTAATTAGTCATGATGTATCTTCACAGCAATAGAAACCCTATTTCTGGCACTGAATTTCTCTCACCCAGAGAGCATCAACAGTCTATGGTATAGGTTGCAATTTATCTTATAGGATCCCATTTTTAAAAGATCTACATTATTTTTTTTAAGTGTGTGTACTCATTAAGGCCAGAGGCACTGAAAATCCCTAAAGCTGGAGTTTCAGAAGGTTGTAAGCCTCCCAAATGGGCACTGAGAACCAAACGTGGCATGGGTCCTCTGCAAGAGTAGTAAGCCCTATCTGCTGAGTCACCTCTCCTGCCCCCAGCATCCTATTTAAGCTGTTCTGGGGTTGTTCAGTGTCTTTTCAGCTTCAATGCTCTCTTGAGGTATTTACATGTTCACTACCCACCCCCCATATTTTTATGTGGAAACTTAATCACCAGTATGAAGTTGGGCCATTGGGAAGTGATTAAATTAAGAGGTGGAGTACTCATATATGGTATTGGTGCTCCTATAAAGGAGGCTCAAGACCCCTTGATCTACATGTGGTGCACTGAGGTCTCTTTTATGACCCAGGAAATGGATCCTAACCAGACATGCAACCTGAGGGTGCCCCATTATTACACTTGCCAGCCTCCAGAATTATAGTTATTTCTAAACTATGCAATCTACAATTTGTTATAGCAGCCAAATGTACTAAAGACAAGATACTACTCCGTGTCTTTAAAAATTACATTATTTTTTGACCCAAATAGCTTAGCATTCTTTTACCAGAAACAGAATATCTATTGGTTTTTTATGCTTTTCATCCCAGATTTTAAAACTTTATCTTTATCCTGTTGACACTTGTCTATGACACTTTCCATACACATTTAACTTTATAAAACCTAAAGTTAAACATCCTGACCCTGCTCCTAGATAAAAGCACTTTAGGCCTCCAATCTTCCAGATTCCAATTTACTCTTTATCATGCCAATTCTCTTAACCTTGGAAACTTTAAAAATATATTTTGATTCACTTACAAGTTAACATTTTTGCTTTTTATTTTCTTCTCCCACAGCATTTACTAGAAAAGTGAGGGTAATCACTAACCTCACATCCATGGACTGGACTGGTCCAAACAGGCTTATTTGCAATAAACTCACCGACTCTGCAGCATGGTGTCCCGGTGGGGCAACTAGAAGCCAGGAGACCCATAAACATCTGAGTTCATCTGAGTATCATTTGTCTGGCCCTTGATATAATTCTCAAGGCCAGGCCACGAGGATACTAGCCTATTTCCATCTCTGATTCGATGGGGGCTGCAGTTGTTGTCCTGAGCATTCAGTGCACTGGGATAATCAGGATGCCAATCTAAAAGGCTAAAGAGATGGCTCAGTAGTTAAAGGTTTGTATTGCTCTCCAAGACCCAAATTTGGTCCCCAGCATCCCTATCGGGTAGCTTACAAGTACTTAGAATTCCAGCTCCAGTGGGATCTAGTATGCTCAGAGGGAGACATGGGAATTATTTTGTGAGATAGAAATCCTTAAAGAAATTTGGATCTGGCTGGAGATTGTCTTTTGTAATGACAGTAGATCCTGAAGTCTTGAGAACAAAGTGAGACTTCACCTGGCACTAATAACTTATCCAAATACTACGAGTAAAGCTCAATTCAGAAAAAGTCTACTTTTACTGTTGAGATACCTAATCTTTAATGCTACAGTTACTAATATTTTGTATTGAATTCTGCTCATGATGAACTGTATAGTGACAGATCACTCACACAGCCTACCCACTCTAACAAATTATAACCCAGCCTCAGTTATCAGGATCAGATTGCCTATTCACAGTCTCTTCAAAATGCATGTTTTTCCCCTGAGAAAAGCATGATCTAACTTCTGGTGAAGCTCCAGGTATTAGCTTGGTGGATGAGTCTTCACAGATAAGACAGAAGCTTTTCTGGCTTAGATCCTGTACCATTACAAGGAAAGATATGACACACAAATGGTTCTCTATATTATTTCATCTAAAGTAAGTCACAGCCTATTTACACTTGAGGCATTTCTTTATTGGGGTCTTGCCTTACCTTATCATAACTATCTGGCCCTTATGGCAAAGTAAATTCTGAATGTATTCATATTTTACAACAGACAATATACATATGCAGTACATGAAATCTTTACAATACTTTCTGAAACAAACAATATTGTTTTAAAAACATGAATTTTCTCCTCCTAATTACTGATACTTACTCTGCTCTTGTGGTAAAATGCCTTCCTTTGAAACATCTTTTTATTTATAGGATTCCCTGAATTTTTTCTGTAAGGTGCAAACTCATGTTGAAGATGTGTTCCATTACTTACTGAAGATACTGAAATTCTCTCCATCCTTAGTATGTGTAAATGCCACCTTCCAGGTTTTCATCTATCATATATATTACTTATTAAGATAGTTCACTTGAAACTCTTAAAAGTCTTACCAGTTCAATTAGTATAATAGTAAATTCCAATAAAGCTGCATTTAACATGACTATATCACAGATTTGACTATGCCTTTTCTTTTCCTAGGACATTTGTTTCAGAAGTTATCTCCCTATCACAAACCATTATTTAAAAAAAAAACAAAACAAAAAAAAACAAAACCATTATTGTTAAGTCTGTAATTCATGACCATTTGACTATGCCTTTTCTTTTCCTAGGACATTTAATTGTTTCAGAAGTTCTCTCCCTATCACAAACCATTATTGTTAAGTCTGTAATTCATGACCACCAATAAACTGATATTCCCTGAAGCTATTCTCTCCCTGAATTTGCCTGTTAGTGGCCCTTCTCACATTTTTTTTCTCACTGACCAAAGTTCAAAACTATACCAGACTTTCTACATTCTTCTTCACTCATTTATCCAAATAGTGTCTTTGTAATGGTGAATGTGCTTTCTAACTAGAGTCCTTTACCTTCATGTTTTATGTCCATTAAATGTTCCATCAATTTGAAAAGTTTTATATCTAGTGGTTATTTTATATTCTTAAAGAGTTCAACTATTGTGACTGTCTTTACTATGATTGAATCATATAGAAAGAATTGCTTTCATCATCATTTAGAATTCTTTCGTTTACACTATAAAAATTATAAGCCATAAGTAAGGATCTCAGAAATTCTTACATTCAAACAAATTTTCTTCTATTTGATTTCTTTGAGACTTGGTAGGCTGTGCTTCCCATATAGGCATAGGCATCCGCATCCTAGTCCCATCCAGAGCATTCTCTCCCTCATAGTAGATTATCTTCTGGAATGTGCCACTATGACTTTCCATATTTGCCATATTTAAAGATTCCTCTCCGGTATGGATTCTTCTATGTTTAGTAAGATTTGATCTGATATTAAATGCCTTCCCACAATCATTACACCGGTATGGCTTCTTTCCAGTGTGGATCCTTTTATGTTGGTCAAGGACAGATCTATAATTGAAAGATTTCCCACACTCACAGTCATAGGGCTGCTTTCCACGGTGGACACTTTTATGATTGATAAGACTCGAGTGTGAAATGTACGCCTTCCCACATTCATCACATCCATAAGGTTTTTCACCTGTGTGGATCCTTTTATGCACTGTGAGGCCTGAGCTGTTCCGGAATGCCTTCCCACACCAATCACATACATAAGGTTTCTCCCCTGTGTGGATCCTCTTGTGTTGGGAAAGAAGTGAACTGTAGCTAAACGATTTCCCACACTCAACACACTTGAAGGGTTTTTCCCCAAGATGGACTCTCTTATGGCTTATAAGAGTTCTGTTTGAGAAAAATGCTTTTCCGCATTCATCACAGGTGTAAGGTGTCTTGCCAGGATGCGTACTTTTATGGTTGATAAGGCTTGAGTGTGAGATGTAGGCTTTTCCACACACGTCACACTCATAGGGCTTCTCCCCAGTGTGTATTCTTTTATGAACTTTAAGGCTTGAGTTGTTTCTGAAGACCTTCTCACACCTGTCACATTCAAAGGGCTTCTCTCTAGTATGAACTCTTTTGTGTTGAGAAAGGAGTGAGGTGTAGTTAAAAGATTTCTCACACACATCGCATTTGTAGGGCTTTTCTCCAAGATGAATCTTTTTGTGGTTTAAAAGGGTTCGGTATGTGATGAAGGCTTTCTCACACTCGTCACACTTAAAGGGCTTTTCCCCAGGGTGTACACTTTTATGATTTATAAGGCTTGAGAGTGAGATATAGGCTTTCCCACATTCTTCACATTTATAAGGTCTTTCCCCTGTGTGAATTCGTTTATGTACTTTAAGGCCTGAATTGTTTCTGAAGGCTTTTCCACACTCATCACACCCAAAGGGTTTCTCCCTTGTATGAATCCTTTTATGCTGTTCAAGGGCAGAGCTGTAGTTGAAGGATTTCTCACAATAGCTGCATTTATAGGGCTTCTCCCCCATGTGGATTCCTTTATGATTTTTAAGGCTTGAGCGTGAGATATAGGCCTTCCCGCACACATCACACTTGTATGGTTTTTCCCCAGTATGGAGCCTCCGATGGACTTTGAGGCCTGAATTGTTCCTGAATGTTTTGCCACACACATCACATACATAAGGTCTTTCTCCAGTATGAATGGTTTTATGCTGAAGAAGAAGTGAGTTATAACTAAAGGACTTGCCACACTCCTTACATTCATGGGCTTTCTTTCCAGGATGAATGCTTTTATGGACTGCAAGGCCTGAACTATAGCTGAATGATTTGCCACAGATATCACACTTGTAAGGTTTCTCTCCTGTGTGGATCCTTTTATGCACTATGAGGCCTGAGCTGTTCCTGAAGGCCTTCCCACATTCATCACATTCATAAGGTTTCTCACCAGTGTGGATGACTTTATGCTGAATGAGGAGAGAGCTATAATTAAAAGATTTCTCACATTCATCACATTTATAAGGTTTATCACCAAAGTGGATGCTTTTATGATTTAGAAGTGTTCTGCAAGTAATGAATGCCTTCCCACATTCATCACATTCATAGGGTTTCTCACCTGTATGGATCCTTTTGTGGACCCTCAGGCCAGAACTATTACTGAAGGTTTTCCCACAGATGTCACATTCATAGGGCTTCTCCCCTGTGTGAATCCTTTTGTGGACTCTCAGACCAGAACTGTTCCTGAAGGCCTTTCCACATTCACCACATTCATAGGGCTTCTCTCCAGTGTGGATCCTTTTGTGTTGGTCCAGAACAGAACTATAATTGAAGGATTTTCCACACTCATCACATTTACAGTTCTTCTCCCCAGAATGGGTGCTTTTGTGGTTTATAAGGCTAGAGTAAGACATGTAGGCTTTCCCACATTCATCACACTTATAGGGCTTCTCACCCGTATGAATACGCTTATGGACTCGGAGGCTGGAGCTGCTACGAAAAGTTCCCATACAGTCATCACACTCATAGAGCTTTTCTCCAGTGTGCATAATCTTATGTTGAACAAGACGAGAATTGTATTTAAAGGATTTTCCACACTCATCACACTTATGCAATTTCTTAACAGCAGATTTCTGCTGTGGAGTAGGCTGTGTGTTTCCATTAATGTTCTCCACATGTTCACCTTGTTCACTAATTTCTGGTTCTGTAGGGATAGTCTGGTTTATGGTATTTACACTTGGGTACAAACTTTTCTCAGATGCCTCATCATCCTGTTCTATTTTTATATTTTCTGTGCTCTTAGATTTGTCAATCTTTTCACTGATGCTACTTTTATCTTCTTTCCATTCAGGCCTTTCCAATTGCTTCTCTACCCAATCACAAGTGTCACCAATCTTAAATTCCTGTATCTGATCCTTGTGAAGAATTTCCACATTTGTGTACTCAGAGTCTGCCTTTGAATTACTTTCATTCGTTTTAGCTGATTCTTCATCCTCCATGCTTGTCTTCAAATGTGACACTAGACCAAGAAAATGAAAATGATATGTTTATTTAGGAAAAAAGTGAAATAATAATAGCAAATAACAAAATCAACTTATCCACTTGACAGGTATTTGCTTGTTGTGTGGCAGGTACCATTTTAAAAATAATCATTAAAGATTTATGTGTAAGAGTGTTTTGCTTGCATGTGGGAGTGTGTATCATTTATATGCCTGGTGCCCAATGAGTTCAGAAGACGTAGTAGTTGGATCCCCCAGAACTGGAGTTAGGCATGGTTGTGAGCTACCACTGAGTACTAGTAACTGAACCCAGGTTCTCTGCAAGAGCATTAAGTGTTCTTACGTTCTGATCATTTCTCCAGCCCAGTAAGAACCATTTTAATTGTGGGGATATGATGGGAGATATTAATAAGATTTCAACACCTTCAGAACTAGTGTTAAAACTAGAGCCCAGAATCTTAACCCAAAGAACTTTTTCATTTCTGCATTAACAACCTAGCATGAAGGTAAGTTAAAAATCGATTAGACTGATACACAGAACCACAGCCAATACCAATTAGTTTCAATGTCACCTCACAGAAAAGCAACAAAATATCTCTTAAAAAACAGATGAAAGAAAAGAAAGAAAAAATTGAAAAAAACAAAGGCAAGGTTAATTTTTCTTTGAAAAGTTACACACACATCAGGAGAGAGTAAAACTAAAGAAGAGGATAAATCAGTACCCTAGAAGAGAGGTCAGGCAGGTTGTAGTTATAAGATTATGAGGACAGTGACCAAGAAAAAAAATAAAAAGAGAGAAATCTGCAGCTAGTGTAAAATTGATCTGGCCTTCTAGACTTTTATGTGTATGGAAAACACTGATCTTGGAAAGTAACTAATCATGGAAGAACTTAAATGGTACAACATGTTTCAGCCCGCCAAAGAATAAAGTTTCCATCCCTATTTATGGGTAAATTAGTCATATAGCATCTCAAAGATTACAAACAGCAAAGTGTGATGGTTCAATCTTATAATTCCGGTACTTTAGAGGCTGAGGCAGGAAGGTGACTACAGGTTCCAGGCCAGCCTGAACTATGGTGTAAGATCTTGTCTTGAGAATGGTGAAACAAAGATGGTAACACTTCAAGCCACTGAGCAAAGAAGTATAGTTGGCTCTCTATAACTGCAGGTTCTGCACCTGCAGTTACAGTCAACCATGGATCAACAATATTCAGAAAAACAAAGTTACTTTTTACCATTATTCCCTAAATAATACAATATAACAAAAGCTCACACTGTTTTTAGGCACAAGTAATTTTAAAAATGGTTTAAAATACACAGGATGATATGTAAAGGTCATTTGTAAATACTGTATCATTTTAAATAGGGAACTTGAACATAGCAAAGTATGTGGCAGACTATTATCTGTGAGATCTTCCCCTCATATAGACCAGAATATGACTAGAATACTGACTAGGTTCAAATACCTAGTTACATGACCTTGAGAAAGCTACTTAATTTCTTTGTACAGCAGTTTCTTCACCTGTAAAATGAAAATAATAGGGCCATTGTAAATATTACATGATAGCCATGTAAAACCAGTAAGAATAATACTTGTCCCTTGGTCAGGACAAAATATTAATAGAATTAATTTTATTATTTATTAGGGTATTAAAGGTTAAGCTTTTAGATCAGGGTTAAAATATATGGAAAAAGTACATGGTTCAGAAAAAGATAAACTTCCCAAAGCAGACTTTAATACCCAACAGAAATCCTGTTCTCCTGTGACATCAATACCTACTTTCAGACATACTGACTTCCAAGAAACTGCTCTAACTTATTCCAAAAGCCTAGAAAATGAAGCATCTATAATCATATAAAATGTCATCTTTTCCTCCTGTCCTGGGTAACATTTCAGGACATTAATGTGAAATTCTGTGAATCTTAGAAAACTCTATATGCAACTATCTGAGGGAAAAAAGGGTAATAAAAGATACATGATTTGGAGTGATCATGTCTAAAGAGTACATATTACACAACTTTCCATAGGAATAATGACCTCCTTTAGGAAAAGAAATAGCTAGAAATTTAGGAGACCATTTAGAAGGTGAAGAATCATCCAGCAGACATTAAAGCAAAAGCTGATTCAGCCGAGGAAATATTATATAAAATTAAATCCCAAGTAGGATGTCCCTGAAGAATGGTAGCCCAGCCTAGTTCCCTGACTCCCTGTGTTACTTTGGGTAGAGCAGTCCACAATACTTAAAAAGTAAAACTAATGTATGGGCTAGTGGAGTTCCAGAAGCTTCAACAGCAGCATACATTATCTATACTTTGCTATTTCCACATACAACAGAGACTTTCCATCCATTTCCTTTTCAATTTTAGCCCCTCCATCTTAACTTCCTCAAAATAGGGAAAGTGTTAAGGTTCCTACAGCCATAAAAAACAATTTCCTAAAATAAAACGTTGCTAGGGAAGAAAACAAGCTGTGACTACTAGTCATACTGTCTATTAACATGTGGTATAAATATAAATATGCGTCTATAATTTAAATGTGTTATTGGCAAATAAATAGACATACCCAGAAATTATTCCAACTACACACAGAAATTGATGATGAGGATGGCATTACTGGGGAAAAGACAGTTTTTTTTAAATAGTGCTGTAACAAATATAAAGCCATCTGGGGAATAAAAAAAGATAAAATTAGATCTTTTATACCACACAAAGGGACAAACTCCAAAAGGAACAGAGCTCTAAATATATAGAAGCTAGAAATAATATTAAAATAACATACTAGAAAAAAAAACGTAAGTTAATGACTCTATGACCTGGGTATAAAGAAAGCATATAGCATATAAACAAATTCCTATCCCCACTCTCAAAACAGTAGAAAATACTGTCAGAACTGTGACAAGATGTGGGAGGAAAAGACTGTACTCTTCCCAAGAACCCTACCTCAGGCCCTAAAGTTGTATGACAAGGTGTCTGGGTCTGTCCAAAGTCTATTTGGCTTACTAAGAGCTACTGATACTCTAAGCTAAACAGTAAGCAGAACAAAATCTTCCTGGAACACAGTGGCTGCTTCAGTAATAGAACTGCTTTTCAAGGTATAAAGATGTGTTAGAACTTGCTGTTGGCAGAATACTACAGAATGAACAAAGTACAGATGATTGTAATTGGTGAATGCTGATTCAGTTGCACAAACTATTACAATGCCTCTGAAGACTAGAGGTGTAGCTATATGAACATGTAGATCTCATCTGTCAGCTTAAAAGAGACACTTCAGTAGCAGGATCGACAGTTCCAATGGTTATTGGAACAAAACATTTGTCATTAACTGGAATATACTCAAAGCAGAAATCTAGCCAATCAAGTATCTATGTGCCTGGGGTAACTCAGCCCTTAAACCTGAAGATCCACTGTCTTGATCTTTAAAGCTGATACAACTGCTGTGTACCGGCAATTACATTTGAGTCCCTCAAGATTATTCTGATTCCCAAGCACCTGATTTTGATCAGCCCTTATAGAAAATAAGTTATATTCCAAGGGCTAGACCGAAGTCAAAAGTGAATGGCTTCTTGGAAGCAAAGCTGGCTGTGGTCTTCATGCTTATTATATACCCAGCACTCCCCCCCCCAACACACACACATTAAACCCACTGTCCAGGACTGGATCACCCCAAAACCAAAATTTGGAGAATGCTCAGATTTCTTTCTGCTAGACTGCAGATTTCACAGTAATATCTGAGTCAACCTACCCAAAGGGCCTAGAAAAGTGACTCCTTTAAGAATCTGCGACAAACAGTTCTTGGAAAAACAGGGTCTCCAAGGTGTTAACAGCTGTTAAGCCACTAGTTCTTCCTCTACTACAGTTGAAAAGGTAGAAGATACACAAAGTTGCTTGATCAAGATGACATGGACCTGTCTGATTGGGGCTGATGTCCCTGTAGGACCACATAAACTAGTGAAAATGATGAATGGCAGCTGTGAAATCAGTGAGAAGTTTAAACTCAGTCCAGGTGTTTGAAGAGCCCTAGTGTCAAGCCCAGTTCTTGTGCCAAATTCTATATTGCACAACCAGTCCAATGATGTAGACACTGAAAATCTAAAATGCTTGAATGACAACCTTGGAGGCCATGAAGCCACTGTCCATTTCCAGCAACATCAGGATTGTCTTGTCTAGAACCAACAGGACCCATATAGGATACACTGAGCCTTTTATGAACTTTCAGAAAGAAGGGAAGGAGGAGAGGGAGGGAAGGGAAGGTGGAGGGAGGAGGAAAGGAGTGTTGAGAAGTAGCTCTTGTAGAATAGCTTCTGAAGAAAGGAGGATAAGGTGAAAGGCCTGTGGAACCCAAACCTAAGCCTGAGAAACAGAGTCCTTGAATATGTGGCTTTGTTCTTCCAGAAGAACTAACAGGTCAAGTTAAGGCATCAAACTGCAATGGTTTGTATTAGAGTTGCTGATTTCTTCCAAATCATAAGGATTAGTTCCTTTTCAGGGTGGATTACTAGTTCATTGTAAAGAAAGAAGCTCCAAAGAAATGCCTATGACTGGGGACAAAGCTGGCAAAGAAAAGCCTAGAAGCCCCATGCTACTTTCTGTTGTCCCTTTTAACACTCTTCAATGGAGAGTACCGAAAGGAGGAAAGAAATCTCAGTCAGGTTCTGTTCTAGAGAAGGTTAGTGACTGCTTTGAAAGAAGCCTAGAAACATTTCTTAATTCAGTCTCTACAAGAAGATAACCTCCTAGACTGGGATAGCCTTCTAGCATTTGTGATCTCTTTGCATATAGGCAGCTTAAAGTTTGTAGAGGCCAGAGAATTCCAACACAGTCCTCCACAGATATGAATGAATGGACTACTAGAATCAAAGAGCTTTTCTGCAGACCATCATACATGAGTTCAGTGACTGTGACTTTACAATCATGGTGTACTCTGAGAACTTAGTTTCTTTCCTTTCTAATTTTAAACTAGGGAAAAAAGAATCAAATGATATTTTGTAGCAGAGACAGCCTGTTGATGCTAATATGGCTC